TGGTTAATCAGAGCTTGCCGGATTGCAGTATCGCCGTTGAGGACCACAATGTCATTGCGGCCCAGCCTGATCTGAAAGACGTTGCCATATTTTTTGGCCAGTTTGGAAAAGGTGAGGTGAGGCATTTGTCCTAGCTGCATAACGTTGCCCACAATTGGCCAGGCAAAGGGTCCACGTCTCTTTTGTCTCAGGTTCCTCACCCACAGGCAGGCTTCCAAACAGAACAGAAAAATGAAGGAGGCGACCAGAGCTGGCTGGACCTGTCCACTCCAGTCTTTTGCAGTGCCTTCTTTTACTCTAAAGTCTGTGTTGCTCTGTGCCATGATGAATTATCCACAACTCCTTCTGATTTTTTTTTAACGTTGATGCTGCTCTGTGTGGTGGAAAAAAGTTAAATCTTCTTTCACAGGTGCCCAGTTAAAGTGTCTTTTTAAAGGGTTTTTCCATTCACATACTATTTATGAGATGTAAAATGTTAAAGCACCTCTTCCGTCTGACAGCAAGGTTTTAGTGTGCTTCATTTTTGCCCAACATTTGATTAATGGACATACCTCTAAATCTGAAATAAAATCCATTCAAACTGTTCATCGCTGGTACTGTAAATCTAGACGATGACAAGGTATTGCTGTAATAAGCCCATGTGCTTTGGTTTCTTCTAAATAATGTTTCCTAATACTCCAACACAGGTTCAAAGGTTTGCTCTGTTTCAGTCCTGTTGAGTAGATGAGGTTAGAAATGCTGTATTTAGCCTTGCCACTCTCCCTTATATATCTGTTTAGTTTTGGGGGCTGGAACTTGGTTTATTATCTTACTCCTCCCATTGTGGCCACTGTGGAGACCCCAGTATCCCTACTGAACTTTACAACTTGATCTCATTCCTCCAGGAGATCATCACTCAGTAGTGTTGAAGTAAATCTTAGCAAACCAGGGAGGTCATAGTGCAATAGTAGCTATTGCTGAACTGAAAAAAATGCCAGCTGTTGTAAAGGATGTAACTACAGTTCTGATGTCATAAAAAACACATACAAATCTCTTTTCTACTGATTAAATGCCTGTTTTAATTTAGGTAAAATCAGCATTTAGGTAAAATGAGAATAGCTCCTGTGATCTGTATTTAAAATGTATTTTGGCATATACTTTTCATTTTTTTAAGACGGATACTTTCTGACAGGGAGTAAAATAGATCTAACTCATTTAATGCTAAAATCCTACCTCTCTGACATATATTTCCAGGAAGTTAAATAAGATTACGACTTCCATCATTTTATGCTGTACGTTACCTTTATTTTTCACCAGGAGAACAGTTTAATCATCTACCATTACCTGTTTATCAAACTGTACATGGTTATAACAGATGTTAACATAAATAATATATAGCCAATATAATATATACATATTTTCTGTGTATATTCTGAATTTATATACCAGGGTGAACACACTACCGAAACATTTTTTCATTGAACTGTCATATGAATTAAAATTAGGTGGATTGGTTAGCACTGTGGTTTAGAGAAATTAGATATTTTTACTACAAGCTTTTATGGAGGATAGATCTGGGGAGTGTGGCCTTTTTTAATTTTGGAATACTGATGTTGGGGTTTTTTTTCTTTGGTTGGAGCAAGTCCCTACTTTCTAAATCATTTATTAGATATGTTTTGCTTCACTGGCCTGTAGTGTAACAGATGGTATGTTTGGGCAATGTGATGGCTAGATTTGCAACCTGCCATATCAGGAAAGCTGGTATCCATTCATAAGCAACTGTTAGTCTAAACTTCTTGCTGTGCCAATTGAGTGATAAACAATTTAATAAATAAAAACATTAACTTTATTGTTCTTTGTAGCAAACATTTTCGAAAATCAGTTACTTGATACAGTTGATTGTGATCTCTTAGCTATGGAACCCCGGACTTATGTATGGATCTTGCAATTGATTTGTAATTGTGTACTGTGTACTGTATATTTGAGGGCTGATGTTCTATAAAGCTGCAGCTTCAAATTCTAAAATGCTGCAGTATTGTAAGTGGGGGTGTTGTTTTCATACAATTTGGCTTATTTATATAAGGTTATTTAGGCCTGTCTATTTTATATACTGTAGCTTTGAACAGAAAATATGAAGTTAAATATTATTTTGTGTTTAATAACGTGAACTGCATTTGTGGCTCCAGGGTTCAGGCAGGTTACTCATTCAAAACGACTGATGATGTCCACGCAAACGGGCTGGTTGCAATATGAAATGATTGAGTTTGAATATGATAGTTCCTCAGAGAAATCTGAATTATTCTAAATTCAATTGACAGTTTGTTGTAAGAGGAGAAATTGGGTTTTAGGTAATGAAGTACATTGAAAGTGTCAGAATCGTCCTTTATTGAGCAATATGAACTTTTAAGTTTATAATAAAATCTTAAGGAATCAATCTGGCGTTTAAGTAAAGACCTTGGCCCTGTCGTTCTTCACTTTTTTGAAAGCTGAGACATTTTGAAATTTCTTAATTACAAATATGTCACAACTGAGGAAAGATTTAAATACGCCTTTGAGATTTAAGATGTATCTGAAGTGAAATGACTAAAACTGCAGGGAAACATATCACAGAGATTCAGATATTGGGATCTGCATGCAGCAAACATTGCTGCAGAATTCTGCCCTTGTGTGTGGTGTACTCCTGCACTGTATACTGTATATTCTTCCATGGGGATGAACCTGTAATAAGATGGTTTTTAACATGCATGTTTCCAGGTGGACAGAGTATGCTTGGTTATTGACTTAATTGATGCCTTCTTGTTCCCTCTGAAATTTGTTAAAGTTGAATGAAGCCAGGGAGAAACCTAATCCCTGTTTAACTGTTAAGAGTCATAAGAAATGTGTAAATACTGTACTTAAGCAGATGCCTAATTCAGTTACTTTTGTTCATTTTTTTATTTTTATGTATTTATTAGTGTGCCGATTTGTGCAAACAAAAGAAAGTGATTTTTCATCCTTCGGAAACATCCACTTTAAATTGAATTCACATTTTGGTTGATAAACAACAAAGGAACAAAAATATATCAAAAAGCTAAGTTTACATTATTAAAAAATAAAGAAAAATAAATGCAAAGCCTACTTATAAATATGTTAACATGTCTAACAATGTTACTTTAGAATAGCTTAAGGTATACATTTAATACATGAGATAATGGAGAAAATGGTAATCTTTTAGAAAAAGAGAAGTTACAATCAAGCACAAAATTAAAGACTATAAATGCAGAGATTCTCTCTGCAATAGTAGGAACGAGGCTTACGGGTAATAAAACTTTTTCTCCTGAATGATTCTGAATTTTTTATTTTTTGCCAGGAAGGAGTAGGGGAAGATATTTTATTAAAGGATAATTTTAATCCCTAATCAACTCCTAGCCATATTAAAAACTAAGAAATAAAAAATGTCTGTAGGTGGTAGAGTACATGGATATATTGGTTTTAAACTCTAACCTGGTTGTGTATTTAAGCCAAAGGTCAGACCTGCTGGACCATGTAGGCTTGCTTTTTGTTCCTTACCATATTGTAATTGGGTAACCATAATGCCTTGAACATTTCAATGTACCTGTTATAACATCTTGTTTATTCCATCAATTCATGTCTTTGGAGAGGTGTATACTGTACCTCCTGTGGTAAGGACAAAGGACAAAGGATATTGTACACTGCAGGATGAACACTGCTACTGTATGTGCAGCACTTTGTTTATAGCTGATTGATAACTCACTACACAAAGACTACAACAAGAGTTCACAACATTTAAGAGACACTTACAAGATTACAGTACATCGTGCTGCACACTGGACCTTCCTGAAGCTTTGAATGTCGAGCTATGTTTTTTACTATACAGTACATGGCAATTTTTGTCATTAAATACAAACCATCATCTAGTGAGTTTGCAGACCTGCACTTAGAATCGTGTTCTACTTTTCAGTTTTGCATGGCTTTTTGCTAGTGCTACAATATTTTCTTCGGGAGTTTGAAAGGTTTATGGTACTTTTTTATACATACATTTTTATTCTTATAAACCCCTTGTTTATTGGATGAAAATCCATTTGGAAAAACAGGAGTGGTTATATTGTAAATATTCCAGTTAAGTTACACGATAACATAATTGTTAAAATTGTGTACATTGTTATTATAGAATACAAATAGAAAAGACAAAAAATCACTTGTGAATGACATTGGGGACAGAGTTTAAGGGAGCCTTGGAAAGTTTAAGTTATATTGTTTCCTTTATTTAAGAATAGGTGGTGGGTTGGCATGTAAAATCGAATTTTTATACCATGCACTAATCTCACCACAGTAGTTCCTAATTGTAGGTCACCAGCACCTAAATAATTCAAGTTTGTTTGCTTTTTAGGTGTGTGCAGATACTGTACACATGTGTAGAGAATATGTAGTAGTTTTGTGGTCTGTTTGACAAAGAACTCTGGTATTCTGTGGTATTTAAACCTTTAAATACCTTTAAACTTGGTACACCTTCCTGTGCTTCTTCCTGTGATCTAAACCAGTTTTGAGTTTGTATGAATCTAATGCAAGGCTTGAGGTGATGCTAACACTTCACCACAGTTTACTAAGTTTAATAAAACTTGAGCATAGTAAATTGATTGTATGAAAATAATGCAATTGTTTTGCATTCTAAGGGTAGAAGTAATACCATTTACTGTGTTACATATAATGTATATACAATAAGATAAATTGGAATTTATTTATTTAATTCGTTTAGGCATAAGTATGATGTGCCAAATAAACAAGTTTTTCATTCACAAAATAGCTTGTAGCTATTTACAAAATTGTATTTAATATACTAACTTGTTTTCAAGACTACATCTTTAAGAGACCAAGGACTATGCATTGCCCTCTTTAGAAGGGAACTGTCCCTTACACTGACACAAAATAACCTGCCAGAAAGACACGAGGATCCTCACTTTCAGCCATACCAACACAGGTCATTTTCTTGTAGCAATTACAAAACAAATCCTATAAATTGTGTGTGTTTTTAAACATGTAACAGATAGTCACATGTTTGTGTTTTTCAGAAAACGAAGTGCATAATTAGTTCATTTCTGAGCTATGTACTCTATTGTTGTAACAAAACACTGCAGATAAACTAAAACGTTTACAACAATAAGTTGAAGGCCTCAATATGCAAACAGAGGTGTACATAATGACAAACATCAAACATGTGGAAGTAGTTTTTGGAAATGATTTGTTTTGGGGCTGTTGCTTCATACAGTACGAAGCTTGGATGAAAAGAAAGATATTTAACTCCTAACTGAAGCAGTAAGTTTTAAAGTTTTTGAAAGCAAATGTGTTCTGCAACACAAAACACTACATCCCAACACCTTGTACCAAAAGAAGAACAGTTCCTCCCTTTGATCCCCTTCAGCACACTGTCATGTTAGTTTACTTACAGTAGTTGGTCTATTTTTTATTAATTTAATTACAGTATGACTTTACAACATTTAACAAACTTGCTTTGATTCTTTTAAAAAAGGTAAAATGTGGTATTTTGTGACATATTTAAATGTAACAATAAGTTGTAATTATTTTCAGAAAAAATACATTTAACAATGAAGACTTATGAAATGCATAAACAGTTTAACTGAAAAATGAGTTCATTCAATTCAGAAACTAAATTTGCCTAAAAATGTCTCTTTACCCATACACATTTACATTGGTGTACACTACAGGATAAACACTATGTGATGCATGCTTACATTGGCAGCTGTTATTTCTTACACAATTTTCTCTGTACTAGCTGCGCACATTTTACTGTCCATGCAGAGCAATCAATATACACTCAAGACTTTGGAAAATGTATAGCTGTGGCAGAAATACTTTGTTGCAACCTTAACAAAATCCTTGACTCCTGTTTACTAGCACTAGCACTTTCACTTGTCACAGTTGACATTTCTGTAACCTGTTTTGGAACATTAAATTTAACTATCCTGCATAACTTACTTTACTGCAATATGATGTGATATAACATTTAACCACCCTTTACAAAAATAATAGCTTTATAATTTGTGGTAGAATAATAATTAAATATTAAATATGAAATCCCTTAACAGTACTGATCAGTGCAGTTTAATTTGACAAGGTTGTAACCCATTGGCCAATACTCACTGTTGAGTGTCATCGATTGTCTTTAACACAGAGGAGCCTCTGCTACCAATGAAGGTCAGGCAGAAATTTAAGGTTTGATTAACCCCTAGCTTTTTATGCTGGTGAAACCAAGCTTATGAATTTGTCCCTGAGCTTGGCAGATAAAGTAAAGTGGAGAGGCTTCAGTGTTAAGCCGTAAGAACAATCCATGGTGACTTCTTGTGAAGGGTTGCTCTCAAAGGTGCACTGGTGAAGGAGGATGGCTGTGAACAGAAAAATCTGCACTTTTGCGATCTGGTCACCGATGCATCTTCTCTTCCCAATGGAGAAGATCATCACGCTGTTGGTCAGGTCCCTGTCGACAGCTCCGTTCTCGTCCAGGAAACGGGATGGGTTGAAGACGTGAGGATCCTTCCACTTCTGTTCGTCATGATTCACAGACCACTGGTTCACAAACACCACAGTGTCCTTGGGGATGTGGAGGTCGTCAATTGTGACATCTGCAGTGGTAGAGTGGGGGATTGTCACAGGAACAAAGCTGGTGAAGCGCATGGTCTCGTAGATGAAGGCCTCCAGGTAGGCTAGGTTGCTCTTGTCCCCGATGTTTGGCAGTCTCTCTCTGCCCACAACTTTATCAATCTGCTCTTGAAGTTTAGCCTGGATGTGAGGGTATTTTACCAGCAGGAGGAGGATCCAGTGCAGAGCTGTTGAAATCGTGTCTTGGCCAGCACCAATGAGATCTGTGACAGTTCCTTCAACATGAGCTTTGGTCAGTCCATTTTCATTGCCTACCCCGTGCTCTATGACACCAATGATGGCGTCACTCATGTCTCGTGTAATTTCTGGGTTATAGGTTTGCCTATGCTGAATCACCTTGTGTTTCACAAATTGAAAAAAGTCCTCATTGAGCTCTTTGAAATTTTGGTAGATACTGCGCACTGGGTTGGGGAAAGCCTGGAGCCAGGGCATGACATCCACCAGGCTCCCTGCTCCTACAGTCTCACCAAATTTGTCAACCCTGCTCAGCAGCTTCCTGAACTCCACATCATCGTGGCCATACCGTTTTCCAAAGCATAGTGCACATATAATGTTTGCAGAGGCCACTGTTAATTCATGAGCAGGTTCAAAGTAGTGTCCATCTGCACTGAGCCTCAAGAAAACCTGGATGAGATCGAGGGCTTCTCCCACCACATGCTTCTCAAAAGCTTCCTTGGTCTGGCTGTTAGCTGAAGAGAAAGCTCGGATGGATGAATGAGCAATTCTCCGATGCACCTTCCACAGTCTGCTGTAGCTGCCAAATACCATGCTCTTGCCACCTGAGATAATCTGAAAAGAGACAAAGTTTGGCCTTCCTGCAAATTCTGCACTGTGGTTAATCAGAGCTTGCCGGATTGCAGTATCGCCGTTGAGGACCACAATGTCATTGCGGCCCAGCCTGATCTGAAAGACGTTGCCATATTTTTTAGCCAGTTTGGAAAAGGTGATGTGGGGCATTTGTCCTAGCTGCATAACGTTGCCCACAACTGGCCAGGCAAAGGGCCCAGGCAGACGTCTCTTTTGTCTCAGGTTCCTCACCCACAGGCAGGCTTCCAAACAGAACAGAAAAACGAAGGAGGCGACCAGAGCTGGCTGGACCTGTCCACTCCATTCTCTGATGCTGCTGCTGCCCTTCACTCCAAACTCTGAATCCCACAGCACCATGCTGGCAGGTAGGCGTTATTCTTCTGTATTTAAACAGATTTTGCTGTTGCTACAACTATTGAAGTCTCAGGATAAGAAAGAATTTAAAAAATTGATCTAAAATTCCCTGATTTAAGGATTAAGATCACAGCTTCTTCAGTGGTTAAACTTTTGAAATTATATAAAAAATGTATCTGAAAGATTTGCAATAAAAATGCAACTGCATAAATATCCACAAGAAAGTTGTGAAAAATATCTGTGGTTGATCTTTGAGAATTGTGTCCAGTGCTTTTTTGTATGAAAGTCTTATGCAATGTCCGCTGATAGAGTTCTTTCTGTACAGTTGTGGTTTAGATTCCAGTCCAGTAATTTAGTGGTTTGTAGAGTTTCATCAGGTACAGAAGTCTGTCTTGAGTATGATTTTTTTTTCTCCTGCAATGTTTGAGTAGCTTCAAACTTAGCTCTGTTTAGGGTTACAACTGTCTCTTATATACATTTGTAGTGCAAGGGGCTGGGCTTGTGCTTTCTATCATTCTCCTCCCATTGTAGCAGCCCCGGAGACCCCATTACATGAGCTCATTCCTGCGGGGTTTCACAGCGCTCCAGGAGAAGGAGCGAGAGAAAGTGCGCAGAGGTAATAATATTCAGTAGCTAGTGAAGTGTTTGAATCCAGCAGGTTGAAGAAGGGTAGAAACGACTGAGGAAGGGACGTCTCTGGCGAACACATTTTGGAGTAACAAAAGTTTGAAATTTAACAGATTGATCACCAGCGTACATACTGTTTATATAAGCATGTGCTCACATGTAGATTTGGGATAATCTTTACGGAGTTATTTTGGAGGACCAAACTCCTCATACGGTCTGTCTCGCATGTGAGTGCTAGTTTGAAGTGAGTGAAATTGAATGCAACCTTTTTTACATTTGTCTTTTGAAGTTAAAAGTGTTTGGGTATTGTTTGCATGCCAGGAACATTAAAGATTATTATGATTCTGATTTCTTTTTAATGTTGTGCGTAAATTCTGAAAAACAAACAGCATTATCTTGTAACGACGCATGTCGGTTTTACAAAGAGAGCCACAATTTTTTTTTCTATTAATGAAAGTCTGTCTCCTTAGAGTTACACAGGGAGAACATTATTTAAACCAGACGTTGTACGTTGTGTAATGTATTGAAAATAAAGCTTCAATTTTCAATTAAAGTACGGAGTACAGTATATTGACAGTTTTTAATGAAAGATAAAACGTATGCTAAAACGTATGCTAAAACGTATGACTTTTTAGAATCTTAAAATAGGTTCTGCATAGAAGCAGTAGTCTATTATATATTATATACACTGTGTAAAGCAAAATCATCTATATCGCGACCTTTACTAGGAGTGAGAGGCTTTCTGGTGAACACCAGATGGACAGGGGCACGTATTAGGCGTTGTGCACTTCGACACTAGATCACTAATTATCTTACGTTCTAATGTTCTTAGAATCTGCACAAAACCAGAAACTATGTATTTGTACGGAATTCCAGCCAAGTATTTGCCAGGTTGCAAAGTATTCCTTTGCCACCAGCTTGTATACCCTTATGCATGATCTCAAAGCGCTTTAAGAGACAGATCAGTTCGGTGGATAACCATTTTTATAGTTTAGAACATAGATACATGTATAGTTAATAATGGTGATCAGAGATATACATTAAAACTTTGTGAATTATATACGCACGTATGAATTAAACTATAATGTAGTATAATGTATATGTATGAATTAAACTTTTTGAATTACGCAACACATCAAATTTCATATTTGGTTTTAAATAGCATTCAATTCTGAGATGTAACTCTAAGATTGTCCTCGAGAATGTTACAGCTTAAGCATACAGATAAAGATATTGGCACAACACTTCCGGTAAATGTTTCTGTTTATGAATTATCATTATTATTACACAAAAGTTAACTGCTCTCCGTTTTATGTAATAAGCTGTTTTTCTTCATGTGTAACGCAATATGAAATACCTCCGAAGAGCCATAGGTTTTGGGTCATTGCAGTTACATCTGCCTCCCATGTGGACTTCACTAAGGTTATGTAAAAAATTACACACGCAAAAATAGTATTCGCGATTATAATATTGCACTTTCTTTGAATCTATATTCTCGCTTAAACAAAAGCGAATGAAGGTTGTTATCATATTGAGTTTTCATAGTGCTGTTTAAATAGCCTACACTGAGGGGATCCTTTTGAAACTCAGCTGCGGATTGGAAGGTAATGAGACAGGTGTCATAACAACATAATCCATTAAAATGCATACAGAATCTGATACCGAGAATTTGTCGGAATTTGAAATTGTCCAGGTGTGCAGCACAAACACTCATTTCGACGTGTAATATTTTTTAAATTTACATGAATTGTTATACGTAGGCTACAATAGTGTTACATGACTCACCTGATGTAATTGCGTTCTGTATGTACTGTACTGTATGTATACAGTAAATATAGAAGGATTCCGCTGTTGATGCTCGCTTATTCATTCAGTAAATTGTGAAAGCCGCTTAGTTATCTGATATCTTTGATCTAACTGGGACCACTGAGCATCAGAGAAGGTATCTGGATGTACAGTATAGAGGTATCAGATCTCACAGCCTGGGTATATTGCCTATTGTGTACAAAGGACATTCGTCTGCTTTAGCACAAAGCTATGCCTTGTTCCAGTTGATTAAACCGGAGAG